AATCTTTCCTGCAGCCCCATGGTTGAAGTGACAGCATTCTCCACATGCCACAACCAGCTTTATCCCCTATCATCAGGAGATTATTTTTCTTAGAAATATTTACGACTTTCTCTTCTGAAGTGGATTGATTATTTCGGTTTCAGCAAATTCTACTGTTTCTCACCTGCAAAATCTTCCCTGTTCCTGTTGAGATCCTGTTCATCACCTCGGGCTGGTCTAATGACTCCTAATAGCTCGCGTTCATTAGGCCTCGAGGAGCTGCTTTAACACACTGCGCCCTTTGTAGGGCAAAAGGCAGGGTCCCAGCTGGTGCCTGCTGAATTAGAAACAATTAGAAATGCTTTAATTGGAGTCAACAGAGCTACCTAAACTTACCACATTTGAGGAGCCAGCATAGGCTGAGCAGCACCCGCAGTTTACGGGACTCGACTGCTGATTATGACTCACGGGCAGACTGGGAAAATGGTGAATTTTTGAACAATATCCCTTTCTGTGTTGCAAGCAGGTCAAATGCTGTCCCGCTTTTACGATCCAGCAGGGAGATAGGGTTTAGGAGCACACAAAAGCCCTAGCAAAAGAGTTGGAGTTGAGGTCACATTTTCATACCCACATTATTGAACCATACCTTTGAAAGACAAAAGAGCAGGCGATGTCCTGACATGTAGCTGTTGCTTAATGATTGTGTTGTCGGTCTGGAGAGGGCGGAGTGGGGAGTTGCTTAACAGTTTTACATTTTCCCATGGTATAACACTGGTGATATGGTTAGCTGTAATTAAAGGGTTATATAAATAAGCCATTGGGAAACAAATTAATTTATTTCCTTGGTGGGGCTAGTTATGTAATTTGGGCCTTTCACGTTGATCTACTTTCTCTTTGAAGCACTCAGCACCCCCCCCCCCCTAAACCTGGTCCTTCTCTCCCAATTGTTTTCAAATAATTTCCAAACACGTCAAGGAATGCAGATGTTAAATGTGCTGCAGCCTGAACTTCATTGAAGCAGCGATGCCCTTAATGAGAAAAAGCTGGAGAGCGGAGTGAGACCTGGCCTGTAAAACGGTTTTATGGCATGTTTATTGCTTTATCAGCAAAGGCCTTCGAAGAGGCAGAACAGAGGTGCTCGGAGAGGTGCACAGAGCTGTCGGTCCAATGGGCCACACTCAACAGCAGCACCCACCCACTGCCCCCAGCCCTTGCAGGGAGTGGGAGAATCCAACACCCAGACCTCATTTGGGGCAGCTCCATCGGCTTTGGTGATACTCAACCTTCATTTACTCAGGATCTGGCACAGTCTTGGGGATGGGAAAAGGAAGGATGGGCTGGTTCCTACGCTGAGCAGAGAAACTGCCCTTTTCCAAGGAAATAATAAGATGTCATTAAAAGTCCAGCTTAAAAAAACCTAAGTTTTCCTCTTGCATCTGTGTTTCTTTTATGAGCTTGTAAGCAACATCATTAAGCTACTTGCCATTCTCTGAGCAGATCTTTATTTAATCATGCAATTTTTTTTGCATTCTCTTCCCTAGAAATGTAAAGCCTCAAGCATTAGAAATTTTTAAACAAATTCCTAAAGTTTAATTCTGTATATGGAGCTGTAGTATAGAAAACAAACGATTTCCATGAATGCTATTTGTACTAACAGCTATACTGGTTTCCTGTAATAGACACCAATTTGACTTCACCAAAAAAAAAAAAAAAGGAAAAAATAAGAAAAAAGGAGGAAAAAGTAGCATTTTAATGTCTTGACATAGTGATCATGGCTACACTTCAGACAGCTCTTCCAGGCTCCAGCTGGGAGATTCAAACAAGCTTCACCAACCAAAGGGAAGTGTATATCTGTGATATTTCTGGTGTTGAATGAAAATACAAAAAGCATTACATTAGTTATGGAGCATGGTCACATCCCTTTCCTCCTCTGACATACATGCCTGGCTAGAAAAGATCTCATCCCTAACCTCTTGGACTTACCATTGTGGAAGACCCTACTGGCAGAGGGGGAAAGGCAGTGCTGGTTTCTCTTTGGTTTAGATTTTAAGATTTCTAGTCTCAGGATAATTCCAGATCCTGGTTGGCTGCACTAATTTCCTTTTAAACTTTCATTTAATGTAGTGCATTAACTTCACAGCATGTGCCTTAGGAATGAACATCAACCAAAACTGCTGATCATGTTTATCTTACACTACAGGGAAGCCACTGATCAAAGCAATGTATATTTTAATCAAAACTCTTCCCAAAGTGGCAGCTTCCACTGCCGGAGTGTCTCTGCTAACACTGCAGAAAGAATAAAGGAAAACAAGTCCTCCCAATTAATAACAGTCTGGAGGCAAATCTGAAGCCACCCAGCAGAGCTTCACATCACTGAAGTGGATATCAAGTGGAAGACTCCAATAAAGTCAGGCTGGAGCCCTGGGTGTGTTTGTCTCTCTCTGGTGGATTTTGAAGGGAGTGAGACCCTATGCTCGCTCACAGACTGTCAGTCACTTCAGCATTTGAAGGTTAATGGCTTTGATTTTCAAATTCTCATCACAGATTGCAAAGAAGAGGAAGAAATTATTGTGAACTAAGGAACAGGACCATGGTGGGTTGGACTTCTCTGTGGGGGTTTGGATAGTTGTTGTGGGAGCTTTCAACCATTTGCAGTCAGCACTGGATTAGGCACAGCCTGTGCAGAATAAGAGGTACTAAGGTGCAGTCCCTGGCTCTCCTCTGACTTTACAGAACAGCCAGGCACACGTCTTTGGTGTCTGAGCTTGTCGGTGTCCAGAAATCACTGTTTCTGGCCAATTCAGCCCAGTTCCCTCCTCAAGATGAGCCTACAGAGCACTGTTGTTTCCTTGAGGAGGTTTCCAAAAGGCATCATGGGAACGTGCAGTAAATAGGCAGTGTTAATAGTGACATCAGTGGAATGAGAAGCCTTTAGGCATTTGAAGGGCTGAGACTGAGATTTGTGAGATCAGAAATGGTGATTTCCTATAAAAATCATGGGTAAATTTGGACAAATTGCTTAAACTTGGTGTCCTTAATGCTCAAAATTACCTAAACATCTGCATTAATCCATTTATCTTAAAGAAACTTAACTTTAATCATACTTAACTTCAATAATACACTTGTGTCCCAATTATGCTAATAACACTCAAGTATGTACTTGAGTGTTTCACTGGCTGATATTCTTCTGAATTGCAATTCCATGTCTCACATTTCCAGGGATGTTGTACTTCCCCTGAAGGAGGAAAGCAATGTGGCTGACTAGGAACTACAGGATTACTCATATTTGTTAGATCTTGGTGGAAACTTCCGAAGAAAATGGCCTTGTCTTGAGATACAAGGACCCCTCTTTTCCTTCTTTTTTTTTTTTTTTTTTTTTTTTTTGATGTTATGTAGGGAAAATAATTTTTAAATAAGTCACTGAGGGTTTTGTTTTTTTAAATGGTCGGGCAATAGAATTTTGCCCTTCAGTTGAAGAAATGAAATGTTCTTAAAGTTACTGCTTTGAGAAAAAAAAAATGTCTTGGAATACTAATCTTATGCTCTTTATTTGCATTCTTGAGATTTAAAATGACTTTAAAGTTTTTATTGAAAAATCTGGAGAATAAAACTGCTCTTTGTCTTGTGGGTCAGGTTTCAGCAGAGACTCAATCTCACTGCTGACTTTTGAACCTCTGAAGATGCTGCTGTGCTTGGACTCGGCGTGACTGCTCTCCAAAGAAGAGCAGCATTGTAAGTCATCTATGTGATGTTTTCCTACTCACTGTTGAGAATCTGCTCACAAAGGAAGGGCCAAAAATACTTTGAGCAAGGTTCTGTGAGTTTACATAGCTGATTAAAACTCGAGGCCCCGTTCCTTTGTTGAAATAGTATCCACTATCCATCACAACAGCCCGTCTGAGCCGCGGGGTAAATCACCCCTTTGGCAGCCATATTGCTAAAGCTCAGCCTCACAGCGAGGTGAGAAAATAAACTGAGGACCCTTTGAGGAAATTTTTGAAGACTGTGTGTAAGCTCAATATCTTTATTATTTCTTGCCACAGCTGACTGGGTCTCTGGTTTTGTGTGTCTGCTCAAACAACAGCACCAGCGAGCGAAGCTGCTGCCGACTCCTGGCCATCGCAGACGAGGAGCCTGCTGGGGCAGAGAGCAGCAGTTTGGTAATTCCCAAGGAAATCTGAACTTTTGATCTTCTGACCTTTGAAAGGGGATGGTTTTTAAATGCACAGCAAATACTACAGACCTATTAGCCACGGGCAGATGTGACTGACACAGATGAGCTGTTGGCCTTCCTAGGAGGTAATGATCACCTGCATCTCGTTGTGCAGGCAGCAGGCAACACGAGGAGATGCATCCTCAGGATATATGAGCCTTGCAAGATGTGTTATTGTCCTTCAGCAGTAAGCAGGGCTGCCTCTGGGGAGTGCAGGTAGGACAGAACTGAAACAAGACAAGAAGAAAAGCAGCAAAAATGAAACTGCCTCAAAAGCTCCTTTTAATGTGCAGCACACAGGGAATAAATGGGTGCTGATTATGATGAAGCCTTTTGCTCCTGTAGTGCTTGGCACTCCTTAAGATGTCCTGATGGCTTTGAATTGTTCTCCTCCATTGCAGCATCAAAGAGTAAATAGGCTGAATGTTGCCTGGTTTGGTCATTTGAACATTATCCTTTTTAACCTTCCTTTTTCTCTTTCTTCCTGTCTCACTTTCTTTCTTGGATAATGTTTTGCTTTCAGATGCTGCATCAACACAATGCTGTCTGAATATGCCACAGGGGAGACAAGCTCGGCACCCCGTGAACTTTATTGCCATGGAGAACTTGGCAGAAGTCATCATACCTTGCAGCCAGCATCTTCCTGTGGCAGGTTCAGGTAAAGGACCAGCACCCAGGTCTTCAGACATGTCCAGTGGTTCTGAATGCTGTAATGCTTTGAAATCAATTTGTCAGATGTGCTGAACCACACAAATCTGAAATAACCTTTCCTCTTTATTTCCTTGAATATAATACAGGTCTTGTATCTTTGTTTCCTTGAACTTCCCAGGAGTTCCAGCCTGACCACACTGGTTTTGTGCTATGGGATGCCTAGAAAATATGGATGCCCTAAGTAAGTATGAAACATTTCTTATTTCTTGCATCAGGCATATTCTCTTGTGGTAGTTTTTACTGTCTTCTCCATTTTGCCATGTCCTGTGTTTCCAGGAGAATCCCACACCAACTAAAATATTGATTTATTTAAAACACAACTAATGAGCTTTCTTTGTCCTCTGTCTCACGCTGGAAAATCCCACCTGATCCCTAATTAACAAATTGATTTATTAAAACTATAACTAATGGCCTCCCTTTGTCCTTTTCTTCCAGCTGCAAAATCCCACCTGATCCCAGATTATCACATTGATTTATTTAAAATTAAAATATATGCGTTGCACAGTTTCTCTATCATGCCCCTCAGTGAATGCCTCAGACATATGTTTCAATTAAGTGCTGACACTCTGATTTTACCACTGACAGATCAAATACTTTAAGAGAAAAGCAGTTGTTTAAAATGCCACATTGTTCCCCCAGGTGTTCAAGCATTTGAGTATTCTTAGCATTAAGGTCGATATGAAGTCACTGGTAGAGAATCAGTCTTGCAGATCCATCCCAAGAAATAACCAGAGCATGTTTTTCTTCCAATATTTGGGTCATCCCACTGGTGTGAGCAGATCTTTGCAAGCCACTGTCCATGAGTCTCGTGCATCCAGTGTTTTTGCTGGATGATGGGTTTTTTTGCTCCAAAGCACTGCCAATGGCCAGTGGTGTTCTGCCTCACACAGAATAAACAACTGAGAAACATCAGCCAGAACAGGGGGAGCAGAGCAGGACTTGCGTGCCAGGGCTGCTGATTTGCCATGGGCTCTGCCTCTCGTAAACAGCTTGTGACAAGTCTAGCACGGTTTGCAAGTGTGTGTGTGAGTAACAAGGGCTCAGAAATACCACTCATCGACAGGATCTGACCTTGGGCTTGCACTGATAGGAACACATCTGCAGGCAACACGAGGCCGTTACATCCCGGTATGTAAACACTGAGGTATCCTTGGCCCTCTTCCCTGCAGTGTTCCACAAAAACAAGCAGCGGGTCACTCACAGCAGACAATGCCTTCAGAGGGAGGAACTGAGGAATAACGGGCTGTTTCAGATGAAGCAAGAGAGAACGACACGGTCTCTGACAATGAAGGCGTGTGGTTGCAGGTTACGTGGATTTCTTGCATCCAAAGGAACGGGAGAGAAATATGCCAATTGCTGTGCCAGCCAGCCAACCTCCTTGGGGCACAGTGCAAGTAGCAGGGCCCCATCACATGCTGGCAACCACTCCAAAACCACTCATCTTCTTTTCCCTCTGAGCTGTCCCTTCTATTTCTCTGGTCAATAAAACAAAATCAGGCTGAAATCAAAAGTACTCAGAGGCTACTACAGACCCTGGTCCCAAGACTGACAAGACCCCCACATCAGTGGTGGTAACCTTTACAAGCTCTCGAAGCTCTTTCTGAGTAGTGCAGTGCAGGTCCACCTCACCAGCTGTGCTTAAAAAGGGACCTGAAGGAGACCCAGCACCTCTGCAAAGGGAAATTTGAAGCAGTGTCTGAGACAAAGGCCCGGAGGTGTCAGCCTGCCTTGCAGCAATGCTCTCAAACTTTGGCAAGCAGGCCCATGTTAAAGTGCTCTAGTGTTCCTCAAGGAGGGTTGGTGGTCTCTCTTGGGTAGCAGTAGTCTGCTCTTGTCTTCCAGTCCCTGACTCGGGTTTCCAGAACAAAGCTATAGAATGTCTGGCTCCATGACTTAATTGAGTGGTAAGCTCTTTATTTCACTTGGCCAGCACCTCCTCTGGCTTTCATCCTAATGGGGAGATTTCTTAGTTAATTCTATCAACTTTCTGCACAATCTCCCTTCCAGTCTCCTCTACCCTCACAGGTTTTTTTCTTTAACATTTGTAGCTGTAGTCCTGTGTGCAGTTGTGTCTGTGAACAAGAATACAGCTACACACAACAGACAAAAAGCGACACAGTCTGAATATAAAGTAATGAAAGTAAAAAAGGAGCTAAATAGCTTATTTTCACCTGATCTGCCACATTGCCTAGCACAGTTTGGAGCAGATAAGGCACTTAATTTTAATTCTAAGTATGAGAAGAGTGGCATCTACCTGCTTACCCTTTAAAATATTGTTTTCCTACTCCCTCCCTAGAAACAATGTGCACACATCATAGATCAGATAGGACAGAAACGGGAAGTTCCTCTTTTTGTACGGGAATTTAGACACCTCAATTCCCATCACATTTGTCTTGCAACATAGGCCTTCTCCTCCCTCTGCCTGGTGCATCCTGCAAGGCTTCCAGCAAGCCCTCCTGGCAGGCAGATTATTTTGAACGTAATAGTCCCACAGGGAGCCAACTTGGAGATCTGGGAGACCTGAATCCGTGGCTTCCTTGCCTCGAGGGTTCAAACCCACATCTCGTAGCAGGCCATGGGCTAGGATGGGATGGGTTTTTTCCCAGCTCCATCATAAGCTGTGCCCTTGTGCTGAAAGGGATGAATAGAGCCGAAAGGGGAAAGTAATCATGGGTGATGAGGGATGCTGTCTGGGAAAGGAGGCGCAGGAGACACCTTGTTTTGGTTTCTGCTCTCAGACTGTTTCCATATTTTGTCCAAAGATGATTACTTTTGAAACTCATAATTATTTTCTGGAGAAGGGACCTTTCCAGGGTCATTCCCAGATTCCCTTCCACTCTTTGTAAGTCTTGTCTTCTTTCCTTTAGAGCCCAAAAACCTCAGAAAGAAGATCACAGGTGCCACCAACAAAGACTACCTGTATGTGTCCAACAACCATCTTGGGTGTTTGAATTCCCACTCCATCCCCTGGGTGTGGGATACTTGTCTGTCATCGTGCCTAACAAAAGATAAGTGACAATTAATTTAAAAAAAAAATCCAAAAGTATGAAAGAGACCTTTTCTATGAAAATTTCTGTTTCACCAGTCGTCCCCCCTTACCTTCCATCACTGTATTCATCTCACAGAAGTGAATTACCCAGAAAATGCCAAAGGAAATGTATGACTGCCAAGCCAGTCACTCCAGGTATTATCTTATTAATCTTAATTGACATTTCCTTGTTTGTCTCTTATGTTTTTCCTTGCTGCAGCTTTGCATAGCCCTTTTCTAAATTCCAGGTGATGAATCCAGAGAAAAGCAGTGTTTGTTATCTAAGGAACCACATCTTAGTGGAAGATTGCTTTGAGGGTATTTGATACTATAATATCAGAGAGAAAGTATCCAAATGAAACCATAAGTAATAACCAGTAGCTTTAAAGTAATGAAACCTTGAATTTCTTCTTAGCTTTGCTTCTGGAAACTCAGCTCCAAGAATGCAATGTCTTTATCAGATTCTTTAAGACCAACCTCTGCTTTCAACCGTGTTCAGACTCTGAAGTGTAGCACAAAATACATCCCTGGCCTCTTGGCACTATGTGTCTAGGTGATAGTGCACATCTCATGGACCAAACCTCTACCCAGATTTTCACAAGAAGTACAAACTCGCACAGTTAAAATGTGGGAGCATATTTTTTTTTCTAGAAATCCGAGAAAAATATTTCCCAGCCAGTTTATTCAGCCCCAGCAGTACTGCCACAATCATGTAGAAAATTCACAATTGCGTTCCCAGCCCTCAAAGCTTCCTTGCTGTGAAACTTCAGTTCCAGAAACTGGAATTGCTCAAAAGCCTGGAGATATTTGGAAAAGGGAGTTCACCTACACTGAACAAATCCTTGATGTTACCACATCAGCGGTGAGGAAACCACGTCGGCAAAGCTGTGCTCAGTAAATTACTGTGTCATACATCTTAGCTTCTTTGGTTCCACCATGTTTAAGCAGGCAGCATATTCTTCTTGTCTCTGGATGACCCAGAAAGAAAGGCTCCTTATTCCACTGTTAGTAAGTTCTTTGAGGTCAGTGAAAACTTTTGGAGTGTGAAGGATGTTCACCTGTGTAGTCATTTAAAGTTCTTCCAAACTGCTGCACCCGGGTGAAAACGAGTTTTACACACCTCCTAGAAACAGGGAAGAGGAAATGCTGCTTGCACTTGTAGAAGAATTAATTTGTGCATCTTCAAAGCCTACAAAAATGCTTGGTTTTTTAAATAAATTGATGATACTTAGAAGCAGGTGTTTTAAAGCTGAAACAGCCACCTTTGGGAAACAAAGCACAAGATTTACTTGGTAAAGGTTTACTTGGGTGGTCAACCTTCATGATATCTGTTCAAGGCTTGCCTTCAAGGCCACCTTTCTTTCTCACATGTATTTCTTCTACTGCACAGTTTTCTGCATGAGCTGTGTCTCTGTGGTGTCTGGATACTTAACTATACTTTTAGGATATATGTTCATTTTCCAGCTGGGGAAACAGACCACAATAGTCTCTTGGTCAGGAGAAGTGTGGTGCAAACCAGAACTGAGATCCTCATTTCCAGCAAAACAGCCTTCTGTAATGTCAAGGTGATGGAAGAGATTATGTGCTGCTACCATGTAATTAATAGATATTAGGAAATGGGAAAGCAGATAAATAGGCATGAAGAAGCCTTTATTTTCTGTTTGCAGATCCATCAGGACTGCAGACACAGAAAAGACCTGTATCTACATTGAGTCTTTGGAATAATGGTCATTTCATAGGCATAATTATTTATCTGCCCACGGGCCTAATGTCAGTAAAGTAGTTCAAGATCTTCAGATACAAGTTATTTTCAATCAGAGCATAATGAATAAATTTCTCTAGCACAGAGGATGTTTGGTATCATTACTCTAACTGGACAAACTGGTTTATCATCATCAATATACCAAATAGGGGCACATCACAGTTTGTTTCCAAAGCTTGTTTTTCCTTCTTGTATTTCTCTGGAAAGACATATGAATGCAGAGTAATAATTCTCAAACCAACACCTTCCTGGTGGCATTGTGTCACCTTCACTAAAGAACCAAGAAATCTATTTGGCCCTCTTGCAGATGGTTTAGCTTTGGGGGAGAGAGTTCTGGACCTACTCATTGATGGTTCTTGACATTGGACCCTTCGCTTCAAGAAGCAAAGAAACTTTCTCCCCGTAGCAAACACTGTGACTGAACCCAAGAAATCTAGGCAGTGTCTTCCATGGGAGGCTAAAGATGCCTTTTAACAGAGTTTCTTAGGGTTTCCCCAGTTATTCTATAGCAAATAAATCACCAGAGAATCACAGAGACGTTTCCTGGTGGTAGATGTGCTCTGACATTGCTTACCAGCAAGAAAACATGTGACAGGTTCTGCCAAAGGGCTGCTCTAGAACGTCAAAGAGCAAGAAGGGAACTTGTGCTCTAACAGCAGGAAAAGACATTTCTTCATAATCAGAGGGTAGAAACCAATTCCATTATATTCTCTTCTCATATTTTGAGCAGAGCTTTGACAAAGGAGTGAATTTGCCCCAGAGCAGTTAAACCAAAAACCCAAGAGATCTACTCCACAGGCATTTTCCTGGCATTCTCTGACATGCAGATGACTGATAATATCACCGTAACAGCTGTTATCTCAAATGTCTGCCTCCAGGCAAATTAGAAGTAAGGAAAAGCCAAAATACTTGAAGAGATGAATATAGCAGGCATTTGCCAGTAATTTGCTGGCCCTGGATCTCCTGCTGTCAGGGGTAAAATGAAGCGTGTTTGCTTTATAAGAAAATTACAGAGCTGTCATCCTCGCAGCTCATCCACATGGAGCAATGAAGAGCAACATCATTGCCAGGACTGAAGGGAAAAGGACTGGTTTTTTTAACCAGAATCTGAAACGTCCTTTCCCAAGGACAAGCTTGAGCCTTGCTGCCAGGGAGCAGCAGGAGAAGGGCTGCCTCCAGATGGGGCCAAGTCCAGACCCAAGGGGGACCCCCGTGTGAGCAGTGCAGGAGCACAGATGTAGCAAACGTGGCAAGTGGATAAAGCATGTCCAGGGTCCCCCCTGGGGCTCCAGCCAGGAACAGCTGGAGGTGGGGCTGGGTACAAGGTCTAGTGTCAGACAGGCTCCAGCCATCATTTCTGGATTCTTGGACACGCTCCTTTGATGCAAAAGTTCCCAGCTGGGAAATTCTCCTTGCAGGGATTCCAAACAGCTCCCAGCAGTGCCATGCTGGTTTTATGGTGGGAGCCATGTAGGTGTGCTGTAGCCTACAGTGCCAAAATATCAGAGAATCATAGAATGGCCTGGGTTGGAAGGGGCCTTAAAGACCATCCAGTTCCAGCCTCACTGCCATGGGCAGGGGCACCTTCCACTAGACCAGGTTGCTCAGAGTTCCATCCAACCTGGCCTTGGACACTTCCAGGGATGGGGCAGCCACAGTTTCTCTGGGCAACCTGTGCCAGGGCCTCACCACCCTCACAGTGAAGAATTTCTTCCTAATACCTGATCTAAACCTACTCTTTTTCAGTTTGAGGCCATTCCCCCTTGTCCTGTCGTCATTCCATATCCTTTTAAATAGTTTCTCTCCATCTGTCTTGTAGGCCCACTTCAGGTGCATGTCCTGGCATCAGGTGTAGGACTGAGCTAATACCTGGATGCCGTTTATGTACTGGATAACTTGGAGGGCAGGTAGAGAAACTTGGGTCTATGCAGACCTGAGCTATTAAGGAGTGACCATTTTTGTCATGCTCTGAGGGAAGATTCATGTGAAAGGAACCAACAGCCTTCTCAGGTGACATGTCAGCTTGTGGAGATGGGTTTTTCACTCTGGTTGGAGAGAACCAAGCCTGCACCTCTTGGCTGCAGCCACAGCTGCTTGAAATGTCCGGTCTGTGAAATGTGCAACAGATCCTTTAAAGAAAGTTCTCTGCACTGGGCTGAAGTCAAAGCCACTGAGTGCTCCTGTCAGAGCTGTCAGTGAGGGAATGAAAATGCTATTAGCAATATTTGAGCTATTAGAGATGGGGTGAGAGAGTAAGGACTATCCATTTCAGTGTCCTAAGAACATATCGACCTCCACAAGAGAAACCCCAGAAGTTTATAGGAGGTTCCAATTCTGGACCATACCATATCTCACAAAAACTCTCCCTCTATAAAAAATAACTCCCTACTGGATTGTTATCCATTTAAATTGTGTCCACATGTGAAAAGCCTGGCTTTTGCATACTTCTGACAATGCTGGAAGTAGAGTTACCACAGAAATCTGCAGTATTTTAGTGGGAAGGGGGTACTACTAACTTTAAAGCTCATATTGAAAATCCATCTGTCTTCTGATTTGAGACTAAGGCAGGCCAAGAAAGCCCCATGGGCCCTAGGAAGGCAAGTACCAGGGGAAGGGGAAGAGAAGGTCATCTTGGTTTTATTGAAGAGGGAAAATGAAAGCTTTACAGGTGTTCAGGGAATAGGAACTTCACCATTTCACTGATGTCAGATAACTGCCTGTAACCAGGATGTTTATTTTAATATTCAAACCTTTAACATTACAGAGTGCTAACCACCAGATAGAAGGTGTCCAGGAAAGGCTATGAATTGTAAGATTTAAGATTAAATTCAAGAAGCAGCAGTATAGATAAAACAATGGTGAGGAAGTGAGCAAATCCTGCTTTGGCTTCTGCTTGTGACCACGGTTTTGAAAATGTCGTTTTTATTCTTTGTACATGTGTTTCTCAAACCTTTAGCATCTGCTTTGCATTTGTAGCAGATCTTCCTACTAAGGGAGCATCTCCGTGGGCATTTTCATAGGCTCCCAGAAGGGGTTAGTTCAGACTGGGAACAGGTCTTCGAAGTGAACTTCCCATCACTCCTGGATTCACATGCAGAGCAGGGCGGAGCCTTGTCCCACCATCCCAGGGTTTGGGCACCTCCACAGGGACACAAACAGCCGAGGTGGAGCTGGAGAACTTAAGTAAATGCCCACAGAATAGTGGAGTACAGCTTGGTGACGTGCCACACTTTTAAATGTCTTTTGTGTCACTGAAGCCTTTCCAAAAACTGGAAGGGGCCCACGTGGTTTGAAATGGCAGCTGAGGGACCCGCCCTGGGGGCCGCCTGCAGAGCATCACCTCATCTCAGGCCACCCTGTGACTGGTGCCTTGGGACTCGCCAGGAAGGAACACTGGTGAAAGGAACTTCCAGGAATGACATTTCCCAAAAAAAAAAAGCCTTTCTTTACTCCAAGAGTCAAAAATCCTTCGTTTCAATTCCTGGAAAGTCTAAAAAGTCCTGACGGTTCTTACGGGGATAAGAAAACAATCACAGTGGAGGTTGTGTGAAATAAACAACAAGCTTGGAAAAGCTTTAAATTCGGGAATATTAAGCTCTGGCCAGGATCAGCATTTTGTAAAAGTGCCCTGCCACGCTTTCTTGCAAAAATGTTTGTGAAACCTTGGGTACACTTAGGCCCTTTGCCTCTTTTGGTTGGAAATAATACAAAATTCTGTGGTTCTTACTTTTCACCTGCCAGAGTTAAGGAAACAGTTGTACTGGGGTCCTTGTAAGTGTTAGGAATTGCGTTTTACTAAGTAAGGTTCAAGTGAGATTCAAGTAAAGCTGAAAAAAATCTGCTCACTGTTTTTCATGACTTCTGAAATGTCTATGGATTCAGTCTGCATGCCTGTGCTATGTTCTTGTGCTGACTTCTGGTAAATGGTCGACCTGCTGGGTCTGCAACCTGAAAGAATAGAGAATTTTAAAGCATATATTGCTGAATATTATGGAAAGCACATACCATAGCTTTGTTAAAACTTTAGCCTTCCTGCTATTTTCACTGGAAGCCTTGCATCATATTGGAAGTGCTAATGAGTTGTATCTCTCAGAATTACAAGCAAGATGCTGCTCCAGGTTTAAGTAATTTGGGAACAAAGTCATTGGCTTAGTTCATTGTAGTGTAAATAAAAAAATAGCAGAGAGAGTAAAAGAAATCTTTCTTCTCATCATGTTCTGTATTTTATTAGTGCACAGCACCTGTACAGAGCTGTGAGGGCTCACACAACTTGTATTGATCAAAAATCTCTGCTGGCCTAAGGTCCACTGCAGTCCATGGATCTGGGCCAGCTCACACTACTTTTTCTCCAAAATTAATCAACCAGTGCAAGAAAGTTGAAGTTGTCCTGAAAAATCTCTTCTCTTCAGAAATAACAATATTCACTAATCAACAACAGCCAATCTCCTTTTGGTCTGTCCGCAAACCCTTGTCCTTACCGTCTCTGTGAGACTATAAATTGATCTTTGTAACATGTCCAGAGGATTAAAAGTAATCCAGGCTCTCACAGAATGCAGAAACACGTCGCTCATTCCAGATTTGAGGGGTCCTCAGGGAGGTGCTGCTTTAGAGTTAAACCAAGATAACTTTAGCACGAGTGTCGCACCGCTCTGGACTGTGCTGGGTCCAGGAGGTGATTGCTTGGGAATCGGTACCCTAAAGCTTCAGAGACATTGCCAAAAAGATTTTTTTAAGAAGAACAGAAGTAGCTTTAGCAATAAAGACCTTTCTTTGCATTGAAGTGGAATGAGTAGAGGCCACATAAGCTGCTGAAGCAGAAATTTTGTTTAATATCAGGTTTGCAGGGCACAGTATAACATTTCCACAGTCTCCAAGGACCTGTAAATATCATGTAATGGTTCCTGTGCCACAACATCGATGCTGACTGGATTTTCAGGTCTGATGTTTACTTCTGTCTCCTCAGACAGGACAGATCGACATCCAGCAAGCGATTCCCAGGTTACTGTCAGCCAAACCACGGTGCCTTGGGATCCAAACAGCACAAAAGAGTCAACCTGCTGAGTCTCACAGCATCTGCCTTGGCCTCAGGTGAGCGCTGTGGTTCAGTCTTTCCCACCAGCAAAGGGGCAGAAACTGAGCACGAAGAAGCTGCCTTTGGGCCCCTGGGGCTTTTGTGCTGCCCTTGGGGTCATGTGTGAAAGTTTGTTCGAATCCCCTGAGGTTGGTTGTCTTCTGGGGAAAGAAGGATGCCCCAGGAAAGGGCGACAGGGTTGCAAAGACCCTGTTGAGTCATTCAGAGCTGCGTCACACCTTTGTCACAGCAGCTTTTGGGGTCTGAGTAGCTTGTTGCTGTCTTTGAACCCAGTTTCTGTCCACTCCTAAGAGCAGCAGATAGTCACTGTGAGTCTTTTAATAAAATAAGCAAGAATTTGAAACGCTGCTTTTGAGTTTTAAATAAAATAAAATAAAATTTTAGTTTTCTAGATTTCATTAGAAAACCAAATTCTACCTCTCCTCTGAAAACTGTTTCCAAACACACAAATCCAGCTAGCACAATCATCCATTTGCACAGCAAGCCCTCAGACACTGTTTTCCTTCTTCCAGATGACTTTCGTAGCCCACCTGGGAAATAAATTACTGGGCAGTGGTAGAGTTAGTAAACCTACATACACTCATAAAAGTTCAAACCAAAGTGTGATCATAAAGTACTTACAGGTCAGTAATCACACCCTGAATTTTCAGAAGTAATTTAGAGTAGATGGTATTATCTGGAGAAAAAGGTCCTTCCTTTTCCCCTCTAAATATCCCATTATAAACCAGTAATAAGTATAAAAATTAAGAGCTGGCTGAAGCCAATGGAAAGTCTTTACTTAATCCCAGGGCATTTTGGTGGGAGCCCTTCAAACCTTTCAATTCAGAAAAGCACCTATGTCATAAGCACTTCATGAGGTCCCAATTACATTACCCCATTTTGTGGGACGTAGCTACAGCCTTGGAGTTAATCACCTGCCTAAAGACTTTGCAGAATAAGGATGCACTTAGAGCCAAGTACAGGCCTAAAATCTGTTTCAGACAGGGCTTTAATATTTAGCAGGTCATGGCACAGATCTTTTGCCATTTAAGCAAAGTTTGATTTTTGGAAAAAGAGGTCTTCCAGCTTGTTCTTCAGAAAATGATATCCAAGAACTGCAGCTAGAGGCAGTATGGCAGATTCTTTCAAGAGCAGGCTCTTGTAGAAAGTGATTTAGTTCTGTAGTTCTCCCGGGTTGCTCTCAGGTCGTGCTGCTCCTGTGCTTCTGAATCCCAGTGTTAGAAATAAAAAGGTAACGCTGGTTCCAAGAGTCATGACACCAACAAAAGACATGAAAAGTCTCTCTGCTCCTGACAGTTTTCTTTACACTGTTGTTTTTTTGCCTTTGCAGTTGAAGACCTAAGCATGTTCCAGTGGCCCTGCACTCCCCGTGCACGGGGTCAGCCGAAACAGGCTCTCATCATCCGGCTTTCCAACAGGGAATTTCTCACGGCACGAGCAACCTCCTTTCCAGCAAATCACAGGTGTTCCCCACATGGCGTGAGCAGGTGAGAGCACGGCTTTGCCAAACCGTGATGAAGTTTGGTAGCTGAAATACGAAATCCAAGTTTGGCCTGAGATCTGAATCTGGCACTCCGCTCTATCCTCTGCTCCGAGCCAAATCAAACTGCAGCACGTCATGAAAACCAAACACCACTGTGCTCTGGATCGCCTAAGATCTGCATCCAGCTGTAAACCCCGATGAGGAAGCTCCTCTCTGTGCCTGTTACAGCAGTGGCAATGCCCAACATATCCCCTTGTAAGCTAGGGGTGGTAGCACTCTGACAGAAATTCGAACAATGGAAAGAAAGCCTGTGCCTAAAATTCTGTGGGAAAAGAAGGCACTGGAAGTGCAATGAAATTGCCACTCAGTGTAGCTTTAATAAAAACTCCCAAACCCATGAAAGAAACACACAAGCAGGATTTATGAGTGGGTCAAGTTTTGAGGCAAAGCACCCCCCCCATCTTTTTGGCTCCTAAAGTCTCTCATTATTAGTTTAAGAGCTGCCAGGCAGACAGAGCAATTCATCCAGCCCACCTGTGCTTTTTTTTTGAGGGGGAAAAAAATGCAAAGGATGTGTTCCATATTCTTCAGGAAGTGCTCCTCACCATGGAGCCAGCTCTGCTGCACCCTCATGAACACTCACAGGACACCTGTGACATGCTAGCTCACCCAGGCAATCCTGCTGCCCAGGCAATCCTTCTCTCACATTCTCTCTTGTGCTCTTTTTTTTGTTGTTGTTTTTTAATAGTTAAGGATTTGAATTTTTCTTCTTGTGTATTTGGCACTTCTGGTGGAGCCTTTGACATGGAAAAAGTCTCATCTTTCAAATGCCTGTGGCACTCTCTGTGAAAGGTGATTTTTAAAAATCCATTTTATTTTGCTTCCTGGCATTGATATCAAAGGAACAATCAGTGCCTGACTTGGAGCCAACAAATTATTTCCATTATAATAAACAGAAAACAATGGCATGCTGCCTTATTAGTTATTCACTTTCCAAGTCAACAGGCTCGGAGGGTTGGGATGAGATCTAACCAGAGATATGCTTTGATGTTTTCAGTTTGGAGAATTGGTCTCCTGGCCAAAATGCTGAGTGATGCCAGTTCTGGGGGGAAGAAGGGAGGGAAAGAAGGGCAGAGGGAAGGGAGAGAACCCCTCAAAGCACAGGGCAGGGGATGGCTACTGGAAGAGCATTGTGGCATGTTCATGGCTGGTTATAAGACATTGGAGTGGTGGTTGTGGTGCTTGGCAGCCTCACACCAGATTTAACACGTGTGCAAAGAGCAGCAGCTGGATTGATTTCGGTGTAGTTACTTTGATTTATTCCCATCAAGGATCTAGTTTAGTGCACACTCAAGATCTGATACTGTACTTCAGAACAGCCACTTCTGTGGTGTTTGCAGTGTGTGTTGTGGATGCTGATGGATCCAAACCAAACCAGATGTGCACAGCAGCCCTGGTACTCATCCTTCTCTCCCAGGAACAAACTCTTCTGGCACTGCCACATAAATAGTGCTTTGTAGGGAATGCTGCTGAGCAAAATGAGTTGCAGTATTTTGTTTTAGCACTGAGTTCATGTATGCAGAACATTGCAGGAGGGGAAACTCCTCAGCAGAAACATGAGAGTCACAGTGCTTGGAAGTGTTTTGTTCTATATGCCTAATGGGACAGAGGGTCTACAGAAAACTATCTCCCAAGATGGTCTTGTAGGTGGGGATAAGCATCAGAGGTGAATATCTGCTATTTTTCTATATAGAAAATATAGATACTGGCATCACGATGCCAACAAATAATATAAAAAGTCAAAACTCCCCCCGTTGCCTTGGATATATTTCACCAGTGTTCCCAGAACAATCAAAATATCCAGAGCAGAAAGCCAGCACATGGGGCAACACAACTGACCTTTGCTTGTTTATTAATCATGTCTCTCATGGACAAGCCACTCTGGCTGTTTTGGACTCTTTTCTGACAAATATACAAACACATTAAACCCACTTTTTGCTTTTCTCACAAAACTATAAACTGCCTGAGTGGTTTGTATCAATAACCCAATGAATAGAGAGCACAGTAACTGAGGTAGATTATTTGCTCTGGTGGAGAACTGCCTGTGCATTTTGGGAGATACATACCTGCTCCCTACCTGTAGATTTTTATTTTAAGGGAATTTCTGTGGGAATTTTTAAAAACCTAAGAAAACTGCCAATTTCTCCAAAGCCAGAAGAAAACTTTCCACGCTCAGGAGGGGCAAGACAACTTGCAAACTGTTTTAGTAAAGGTTTTGCATGGTGATCGTAAACCATTATCTTTGAGGTGACCAAATCTAGCATAGAAAAACAGAAATAATTGTTAGGAAGCAATGTCTCTTTTGGGAAAAGATGTTCAGCAATAGTGAACATTATGTGTTATGTGTTGTTGTCATATTGCCTTTAAATAGCCAGACTCAGAATTATCCTGGAGGACAGAATGTGAAGCAGGTGATATTGCACAAAAGATCAGTTTGGGGCCACAAGAATCTGTGTGGTGATGATGATTTTCAGAGAGCAAAGTCGTGTTACCGGATCCAAACCTCAGAGAGTTTCCTGAACTGTCACTTTGCAAAAATACCCATTTGTAATGACCAGCAGTGGCAGTCTGACACTTGCAGGGGTCAATTTTCAGTGCAGAATAGCACTTTCAGATCCTGCTTGAGCAGTTTCCTCTCCTTTGAACCCTCTTTCTGATTGCCAGATGCTCAGCCACAGCCTGGCCCTCATTCTTCCAGTCCTCCCATAAATGGAAGCAAATTTCCACCAAAAGCTTCCTTAGGGGCATAAGGAAATTAGAGAAAGAAATTAGAGAAAGAATAGACCTGGAGTCCTCTCATGTAGCTAAAAGTCCTCCAGTCAGACACTGCAGCCAAATTCTCTTTCCTGTGCTCTGTTTCTACATGATCAGCCTTTTTCCTAGCCTAGGAATTCTGGCTCCTTGCTTTATTCCAGGCGATCTCCCTTCAGTGGAGGCATGTGATACCTAGCCTTGATCCTCCTAACCACAACAAGCCAAAGCATCCCACAAAAAAGGCTGTGCTTCTTGCCCTTCTGCTTTTTCCTGATTGCCTTCTGGACAGTAATAGATGATGCTGGAATTCGTTCAGCAGACATGGGAGCTTATCCTCCCTCTTTCAAATGCACCAGCATTTTTTTTTCTCTCTCCCATGCTCTTAATTTCACCCCAGCAGCTCAATCTTTCTGCTGGCCCCGGCTCAGTTGTCAAGCCAAAAGTTTGTAGGTTTGTTGCCACAAAGTCCCAGAGCACAGCACGTTCCAGCATGAAGGGATCTGGGGTGGGTGATGGCTGAGGCCGGGCTGGATGCTGCCTCCTCTCCTGCTAAACGAGGCCGGGTGTCAGGCAGTAAACACTCAGGGTGAGGAAGCTGCAGCTGGAGCCATCACACGGCCTAAAGGAGAACACACCTAATTTAATTCCAAGAAAAAATAAGGCTGCTGTTTCATAGGCCAATAGCAGCCATCTCTGATCCACGTTTCTGTCTGTCCTTGCCGTGAGTTAAGCAAATATCCTTAATAATGTATGTGGTGCAAAGGCCTTCTCAGAGGCTGGTACCTTGATCTGTCAATGCCTTGCCTGTCAATCTTGCAGAAGAGGTGAAGGCAGGGAAGGGAGGAATATTGTTCCTTCCATCCCACAGGTGGAGGGCCAGGCAGCAAAGCTTTTGGGTGAGGTCCTTGGAGTTGTACAGAGGATCTGCTGAGGAACAGACAACAGGTATTGTGATTCTGTGACTCCTGCACATCCTTGTGCTGCAGAGGCAAATCCCACTGAGATGAAATCCCACTGAAAGCAGGGTAGACACACAGATAGATGACAGAGGCTTTGCCTGTTCTTTTTTCAGTCATGTCAGACTTCCCTGAAATCTGCTTTCCCTAACTGCTAACAGACAGAGCTTCCCAAATCTGCAGCCAGTCTTATTTGGTCAGGGCATGGGGGTGAAAAAGCCCAGCGTTCAACAGAGATTCCTTGGAGTATCTTTAAGATCGTGGATCACATAAAACAGTCCCCTCTCATTAAAAAAAAAAAAAAAGGGGGGGGGGGGGGAAGAAAAGAAGCACACAAACTTACCATTGTTGAGTGTTTCTTTAATAGAATCAGAAACAAATTTGTGACCTTGTGGCCCAGAGGTGGGAACACCATCTATAAACTTGCCCAGACATAGAAATGCATTCTGCCTGTCAGTAGGAGTTTGCCATTGAACATGTATATAAAAAAAAGCTGGTGTTACATTAGGCCAACATTTTTTAAATGCCACAGCTCACTTTATATGCTGTAAACCTTGTTAATACTGCTAACAAAAAAGTTAAAAACTCAAAGCTATAAAAATAGGAATGCCACTCCTAAGTAAATAAATATACATGAGAACCAAATATTCAGATACAAGTTCTGAAATGGCTCATGTCCAAGGAGGAAGGGGGAAAAAAAAAAAAAAACATTAACCTGAGTTGTTTCTGATGCTATAAAAGTTCACTATAGTCAGCAAAATTGTCTCCCATTGAGTGTTTGACTTAGATTCACATGGTTCTGGAGAATTCCACACTGGAGCTTGGAGGAAGTGGACGGTTATTTTAGAAGTCAAGGCAGGTGGGCAGCAAGGAATATGCCAGCAAGGACAATTCCATCCAGGAGACTGGATGGGTCAGGGAGGGTAGGATATTTCTTTCTATCTGACTCAAGAACAGGCTGCTAAGGTTGCAGCAGTGGGGAAAACGTTTCCATGAAAACAGGCCACCTGCATATCCCGGCCTCTGCTGTTGGCTCTGGATCCAAGTTAATAGGCCCAGTTTGGGACTGTTATACACAATCTGGGGTGTACTGTGAGTCTTTTTGACAGCCTGGACTCAACAGTGGTTCAGGGGCTAAAATTTCCAAGGATCTTTTAAGGGACTTTTTTTTTTTCCCTGTGGTAAGAGCTGGCAGTTTACCTGTCCTTGCTTGTCTTTGCTTTTCCCCCCTCAC